ATTATTATTTCTTTTAATATATATATATGTGTGTGTGGATGCACTGTATGCACTGTATATACCCCACAAGAACCTTTTCCTCCTTTAGGGACCTTCTGTCTATTGAGCCAATGTTACAAAGTGAATTTCTCCACTGCAAGATCAATAAAGTCAATGAATCAATCAATGTAATGAATCTGTTTAACATTTTGGGTTTTCTCTATAAACTATGACCTTAAATTTACGTTTAGGGTTCTTGATCAGTGAGATGCACCATACAATGAGAGGCTCACTTCCTGAATATTCATACCTCCAGTATTCCTTGCCCATTCCCTTGAGCCACCACTTCCAAGTCCATACCAGCAGGCAACTACACAGAAAGTGCAACAAAGAGATGTGGTAGAAAATAAATTCAATTTGTCCTCTGAAAACCACCAATTGTATTGTTTGTTTTAATCATGCAATTACATGACTTACTTTAGAGGAGCGAGCAGCATAGGCCGTATTAGGGTTAAAGTGGTAACGGATCTCCTTGCGTCCCGTCAACCTGATGTCCACATTCAGACTGAGGTCAGCAGGAGGAGGCTGATTGATCATGTATTCTGACAGAGCCTGGAGCACCACCATGGTGGACTGCAAGAGAATATGCCATTGAAAGTAAAGAAAAAAATCTGTCCACATCTGCATACATTTTGTTATTATAAGGAAACATAATACAACTTTAACAAAATTAAAATACAGCATTAAGGACGATGTCATATATCATGGATTTTTCTGTGGTTTGGTGGTACGTGTCTATGTCCTTGATAAAGGGGACCCAGGTAATTTTTGGTTTCGTATTGGAAGGATATCTGGCATAAAAACTCTGCTCATCTGTGAGTAAGTGATCATGATTATCTGGCAAACCCTAAAAAAGGAAGCAGGAAAATGGACTTTCCTTTAGATGTCATAAAAAATAGCACTTCCTCATTCTTATTATATTCGTCATAGCATTTATTTGAACCTTTCTCAACATTTTCAATGCTGACCAGATTTTAGCATTTTTCCTCTGCTATTTTTATTATTTATTTTGGTTGGTAATTTACAAGTCTTTTTAGTTGGAAGGCCTCCTTGCCATTACCCTAATCTGTAGCAACCTCTACAGATTCTTCACAAGATCCAAGATTACACATTACACTCCAAACCATTGATGTTATTTCCAGTCAGAATAAACATGCCGATTAAAATATAATTAATTTCATTAAAATATTGTAGATATACTAAAACCTATGGGCATAACTTCATAGATCAATATTCTCAAAAAACTAGAAATGACTGATCTGATCAGCTGGTCTCTCTATGCTATTGATCAATTTTTGCTCCATGGCGACTATGGGTGGAAGAGGTCCCTCTTGCACAGAGGGGACACATGCTGCCGGGCATGTTATGGATTCCTGGGGGAAGTGGAAGATAATGTTCCTGTCTTAACTGTCAATTAAGGACTTCAAACTGTGTAGATGATTGAATTGATTGTCGGATCTCTGCTTAACGGACATGGCAGATTCCTTCTCTATTGTAAAATATGGAAGGTGTCAGCAGCCGTTCAGGCTACATTGAGGCTGCCCGCCATGTGTGATGGAATATGCCAAACTATCAGCACTCAGACACTAATGAATCACAATCACATTCTGGAGGAGATTACTTTCTGAGGGTCACAGACTAGTTTGTGGATCCAGGTCCAGCAGATAAAATGGAAACAAGGAGAAAATTATATGATCCACAAGGCGAAAATGACTTGTGGAAATCTGGATGATTAGAACTTTGCCATTGAGAGTTTCTAGCAAAGAAAATTTTTTTACCAAAACTTTTTTTTTTTTTTTTATCAAAATAAATACTGCAATTCAGAGGACTCTAGTGCCACTCATTGACAGAGGATGAAAATATACGACACATACGGCAGAATGACTGAGAGTTTGAACAGTGTTTTTTTTTTTATGGACAGCTGCAGAAGATATCATGCATTAAGTAAAGCTATACCTTCACATTGGGTCCCAGCCCTTTGCTTCAACCCCCATAAGGCTGCTGTAGGCTTATTTAAGTTTCCGAAGGATCCTCAGCTGCTTTCAAATAAGGTGAAGCAGGTCAGACGAGATCAGGAGAGGTTGGAGCACTCCACTTCACTGGCATCTATGTGCTCTCATATGCTCTATGCAAAAAGCTTTGGTATAAGTGCCTTGTCAAAGGCAGGGAGTGCGATTTAATTTATTTATCCTCATCTTCTTGTGTGAGCAATTAACTAGCTTCTAACCCAAGGACAGTGCCTTCAAAGGCTGCAGCTTCAGGAATCTTTCACCCCATGTATGGTGTTGTACATAATTACAAAACAATAAAGGCAATTAATTCAGTATGCTTCAATAAAGGAACAATAGACCACTCTAAGCTGGTACCTGAGTTGAACCGAAGCCTCCTGCTCTTCTCCTTTGACTGTTGAGCCATTTGAAGGGCAGTGCAGCTTCCTCTATGCGTCCCATCTTTACCAGTGCGAGCAAAGCATAGCCAGTGGCTTCCAGTGTGAACAAGTGGTTTTCCTTGTCAGGCCAGTGGCTTCTATCTATATGAGTTTAGCAGAGGATAGACAGGCATTATGAGTATAGCACACCAGTAGTGATTTACGCTTTGCCTCCATGAAAAGTTGCGAGCGAGCAATAAGGCCTATTCATAGACATATTGTACGTACCATAGGGAAGAAAACAAAAAATGAACAGCTGATATATCACCTTCACTTACTTTTTTCCTAAAGAATTTTAATTTCTTTTGACTTGTGAAGAAAAATAATCTATCAAGTAAGATAGTGGAAAAGAGGACAACGTGAGCTTAAATAAATAAAGGCTGATGTGTCTGTGCTTTTTGCGCATGAAGGTCAGGCTAATTAAAGCCTTCTCATTTGTCACTGAAGCAATGTCAAAACTAGTGCCTTTCTCATATAAAGCAGAACTAATATAAAACCTCGAGATGCTGCTTCAAGTAAAGCGACATGAACGTCATATGTTCCTTGTAGAGCCAGAGCGTAGGAGGTGATGGCCACTGTGTAGGGTCTCCTTCCACTGGTCAGTAGGGCTTTGCTCAGGAACTGATTAGTCCATGTAATAGCTTCCTACAGCAGACAAGAAGATGACATCACAGAGAATTTCCTTCAGTAACCAAAATTACTTCTGATAAATTTGATCAGAAGTTAAATTAGGAGAATATATATTTATTGAGACATGAAGGCAAAAGCCAACATGAAATCTGTTGAGATCAAGCTAAACATCATTCTACCTAGGGTTTGACATTTTTTTTCGCAGATATAACAAAATATGAAAATATACAGTGTGTAGCTGAGCCACTGGTGTTCATTTAACTATGTTCCCAGAGGGTGTTATTTTCTCTACAAAGTATTACACCCAAATTACACTTATCAGTCTAGCTATTTAATATAAAAAAATATCTTAATAATAATAAGAATTATTACTATTATTACAGAAATCATTATTTAAAATAACCTAAAAAAAATTAGGAGCCCTCGAAAAATCCTACAAGTAATAATCAAAATACAAGCTATTAACAAGACAATGCTTATTCATGTTTGTATGTTTAGATTACCTCCACATCTGGACTGCCACAACGGACCCCTGCCTTCATGGATTCAGAAACCGCAATATGGACAAAGGCTGTCAATGTTATTTCTGGGTCATCGCCTCGCAGACCACCCTGCAAAACAGACAGAAAAGTGGGGCTTTAATATAAAATTCAAAACCTGAAGACTTTGAGATGTAGAGAAAGATCAACTTATTTTTTTATTTGATGTTAGCCTGTTTTCTCTTTCTCTGCTTTTTATGTCTTTGTGTTACAATTTTCCAAAACTTATATTAGGCCGAAAAGGTATAAAAACATGGTTTCTTTATGTTTCAGATTCATTCAGAATGATCAAACATAGCGGTTGAGTTTTGTGACAAGTGAGGAATTTGAGAAGTTTTTATTGATAATCTCAAAGTAATACAAAATAATCCCATGTCCCAGAGCTATAAACCATTGAAATATTTAAAAAGTATGGTTAATCCAGAGGTTTGTTACTTTATTAAAGCAGAAAGTAACAAAGAAACTTGCAAGTTAAAAAAAAAGACAAACTATGTGTTTTCTTGAAAGGACTCACAGTCATGGTGGTTGAATAAACTGGGTTGTCCTCCCTGTACACTCCTTTCGAACGTCTGATTTTGTTTTTCACCAGGTAGAGCAAAGGGTCACACACTTGCTGCTCTGAGATACTGATGATCGAGTGAGCCATCGAGAAAACCTTGACAACATACGCTGTAATCCTGCAAAATGAACCTGAAATGAGCAAACATTTGGGCCTGCACACATTTAGAAATCCTTTCAAGTGAAGTGGGAGTGTAAGGGACTAGATAAATTTGTAAACTCTATAACTCCTCCTGCATGTTTTGAGTCTTAATTTAGATCCAGCTACAGCAGGAAAATATATTTCAAATGCTTTTTTGATCTGTTTTATCTTGAAATAGAAAACCATCAAAAACAAAAATGAGCAATAACATTATGTCCTGTGGTCTCTGGCGACTTTTGCTGTCAGATGCATAAATATATTATAGAATTACCAAGTACTTGCTCCTTCACGCCTGTAGGGGGGGTATGACCCATCACTCCTTCTGTAGGCTAACTGGTTCTCATATCCTTAAAAAAAATTGACAGCAAAATTAAATATTGGATAGATGGAACATAGTGAAACATTAAACCTTTAGGTGTCAAAAAATAAGCAACTATAACCATCTATTACAAATCCATCAGGAAGTGATCGAATTCAGATAGATCCTAAATGTGTCTTATCTTTGAATTTGATGCTCATTGAATCTTGTGGAATAAAAAATCATCAAAGCCTCCATCAGATTTTTACTGTATATCAACAAAACGCTTAATATCCCCTCATCGCTGTCTAACCTCTCCTGATGTATCGGAGAGCCTCCGCCTTGCGATCCACTCCTACACTGTCCCAGTTTTCGGTTCGATCCAGATAGAGAGTGGCAATAAGTGGTAGAGTGATTGAAGCCAAGTTCTGCTCCACACATCCACCGGGCATCTGGATGAGAGATGCCAGGGAATCCTCGCTGATGGAGTTTTCAATGCTGTCTGCCAAAACATTACCTGGATGGAGACATTAAAGGAACATTTAATGGTTGTTTCTCAGTTTTATCAGTTTAAAATCACAGACTCATTTGTCTGGTTTGGTAAACTGACCTCTGACATTAATGAAGGTCTCAGGCACAGAGTTTGGCACCACTGACTCCAGTTCCACTTTACCGATACGAACCGTCTGAGTTCCTGCAGTGCATGGAACCAAATATACCGTACATTGATGTTTGAAAAAGTAATTTAGCAAGAATTTTCTCTAGCCCTATTTTTGTACTGCATATCTCTCTATTTACACACTGTAAAGAAAATAAGATCACAAGCTGACAAGTTTGAGCAGAAATGAAAAGAGTTGTAAAATTTGTGAAAACTAAGTGATAAAAAAGGGAATCCTGTCATTAAACTCCTATAGATGTAGCATTTTAGAATAAGACTACATGCCTCCTTGAGCAGATGGATTCAACACTGTACTCCAAACTTCAGTCTTCTGTACTCCATCCAGCTGTTTGGGTCATGAGAAGTTAATAAACTAAAAACATTTGGAATTTTTTTTTAATATCAAGATATGAGAAATAACTGTATTTATTCAAGTTTGTTTATTTACTATTAATTCAGAGTGATGCAATAATTCTATTTTAGTCAAGTTAATGCAAATTTGATTCAAAGCTGAGTGACTTACCACAACTCGCAGAAACTTCTGTATGCGGTCGCCGCCTGTCAAGTCTCTGCCAACCACCATTACCTCCAATGGAAGTTTGCCCACCACCAGTGGTACAATGGTGTAAGGCACCACCACAGAAGAGCCCGCTGGCAGAGTCACTTCCTGCGTGTGTCTTTCCTTGAAAGCAACGCTGCACATGCCCTCTGTCTTCATCAGCACCACCCTCACCTGAGCAGGGAGAGGTCACAGGAAGATGAGCAACAAGAAGAAGAAATGATTAAAAAAGATTGCATGGATTGTCTCTTACATGCATCTCATCGTTGCCATAGTTGTGGACAACAGCTTTAATCTCCACTTGTTCGTTCCTTGCCACAGAGTATGGGAGCTTAAGGTCGACAAAGAAATGCTTCCAAGTTTTGAAATTGTACGGCTCCGCAACACAGAAACCTGCAGTCAGATGGTGATCATATTTCCATTACTTATGGCTTCTTGATTGATACAACCAGTCTCTTTTGTGAAGCATTAACAAATTGGTCTACCATTACACAAACATATATTTTTACGATAATGTGCAAATACGTACTGTGCTTTAAAACCCTATAAATGTATTTAAGATACAGCAGGGCAAAAAGGGCGATTGATGATTTAGAAAATCCAAATATCATTTAACACTGAAGAATAAAGTGAAAAGTATAGAGAGTATTTTGTGCCTCACATTCCTGCAGCCATACCTGTTTCAGGTGATGCACTAATGGCCAAAACTCCCCACTCTGTGATGCTGTCCGGTAAAGGATTTATCATATTTTTCAGTGCCAACCTGTATAATAAATTTACACTTTCATTATATCCTGCTGACACAAAACAAGGATATTTGCATGAAAACCCCTATCAATAGACTGTACTTGGAGCAATAGTGCCACTGTACAATACATTGTAGCATAAACTGTGAAGGAGTAGAGAATTGGAAATATCAAGCAGTAAGAAAGACACAAAACCAGTTATATGATTGAATCTGCTGCTTTTTCTTTAAGATGTTTCTAAAAGTATCAATAGTATCAACAGTTTTTTAAGATCTAATTTACTGTGATCAGGTTTAAAACGTTGAACTAAAGACTATTAGGTGACTCATTGGATGGATAAAACAGGGTTATAATAGACTGGGACTTAATTTTCTTTTATCCTTGTTTAAACGTTAATCTTATTTTTGCATATGTGTGTGGTCTGCTAAATAAGGATAAACCCATTCATAGGTTTTTGTCTACATACTTTATGTTTATGGAATCATTTTTTGTTATAAATACTGATTAAATGTAGATTTAAATTGATTCATGTTTGATAGTTTTTCTGATGTACTTTATATACATGTTATCTATTAGTCTGACTAAGTCTGACTAGTAACAATAAATAACATAAATAATAAGTACAAAGCTAAAGGAAAAGCGGTTGCCTCCCTTGTGGTCCAATTTTCAAAAAAATGTGTGCCCCCTCTTGAGCTGCTCGGTGCAGCAGTGGGTAGCAATGCTGCCTTGCAGCAAGAAGGTTCCGCGTTCAATTCCCAGCCCGGGGTCTTTCTGCATGGAGTTTGCATGTTCTCCCTGTGCATGCGTGGGTTATCTATGGGTACTCCGGCTTCCTCCCACAGTCCAAAAATAATGACATCTTAGGGTAATTGGCTTCACTAATTTGCTTCTCTAATTTGTGTTTGTCTCTGTGTTGCCCTGCAATAGACTGGCATACTATGTACCCGACCTCTTGCCTGTAGGGAGCTGAAGATAGGCACCAGTACCCCTCGTGACCCCAGCACTGATGAATCGTGACAAAAAATGGATGGATGGTAGGTGTGCCCCCTCTGGAGCCAAGACACATTTAAAAGTACCCACTTGGGAGCTAAAATGTGTGTTAAAGTGCCCTCTTGAAAGCTAGAGTACATGATAAAGTGCACTCTTGTGAGCTTAAATGGATGTTAAGGAGCCAAAACTTGTGTCAAAGAGTCTTCTCTGGAATCAGAATATGTTAAAGAGCCCTCTTGGGAGCAAAAAAGCATGTCAAAGAGCCCTCTTCGGAGCCAAAACACATTTTTACCAAAATAATTCCTTTGATTTTTAGAAAAAGCCACAAGCTAGTTTAAATGTTGTCTTACCAATAGATTACAATGTGTCTGGCTCCAGGGTGTCAAATTGGCATCAGATGTGATTTGTGGGAGTCCCAAAAGGTTCCGAACTAGAAGCGATACTCTCTTTACTTAAAATGAGCAATCTTCCTGCACTATACAAAATCACCCATATGTACATTTATGCAGATGACGCAGTTATATATACTTCAGCATAAAAAACTGCATGATCTTGCATAATTCTTACATCTGTTACAGCCCATGAGTGGTTTCAATACTATTATTATAATTTTATTGTATATTTGTAAAATTATGTTATTTTAACATTTAGTTATTGAGCTGTCTTTCACAACTCTCAAAAGGACCATCAATGAAAATGACCTTAATTTACATTACAGAAACACATCAAAGATGCTTTTCAAAGCTGTAGATACCCAAACTGGGCATTTGTCAAATCAGCATGGAAATCCAAAAGACACACAGCAGAACATAATGGTGAGAAGATCAAACGCAAAAACATCTCCATCCCATATGTTGCTGGAGTCCCTAAACAACTCAAGAGAATTTTCTCCAAACACAAAATACCAGTACATTTTAAACCTAACAAGACCCTTCGACAGAGGCTAGTGCATCCAAAAGATAAAACCCTCAAACCAAATATGAGCGGAGTGGTGTATGCAGTTTAGTGCAGTGAGGAATGCTCTAATCTTTATATTGGAGAAACCAAACAACCTCTCTACAGACGCATGGCCCAACACAGAAGAGCGACCTCCTTGGGACAAGACTCTGCAGTACAGCTACACTTTATGGACAAAGGACATTCTTTTGAGGACCAGAATGTTCACATTTTGGATAAAGAAAATAGGTGGTTTGAGAGGGGCGTGAAAGAAGCCATCTATGTTAAGAAAGAAAAACCAACCTTTAACAGACTCAGGTTCCAGCTTCCAAAAATCCTCGCAGCCCCACCCCCTGTACAGGAGAGTAGAGGACCTCGTCTATTCAACCAGTCCGACAATCCCCTTTAACAACCTACCTTTCAGACACTTAGATGGGTATGGGGTATTGCAGTCTAACAAAAAAGGCCAAACGACCCCCGTTCGTCTGTTCCAATTTGCATTGTTTCAAAAGAAAAACAAGCCTTTGTTGGGCTACTGTATAAAACCTCGAACTCAACGCTGTTCCTGAAATTTTGAATTGAAAAACCTTCCTGGATGGGAAGCGAAATGTCTTCAAACTTGGAAACCAAGTCCAGTGGATTGTTCTTAATTTCTTCGGAATGACTATGACCTGGATGACTAAGAACGATATATAATAAGACGATAATAAGAACGATATATAATAAGACGATAATAAAATAATATGTAAGAAACAATCGAACATATCAAAGGGGTAAATTGAACAACCAAAGAAGGTGACATTAATTGGGTAAGATGAGATGACACATTCATTAGAGGCTTATTTTTAGGATGTAGCCAAAGCTTTCATAGTTCACTCACCCATCTTTGTCTGTCTCGCTTGGTAAGTTCACATCCATCCACAACCAGGACTCATAGAACTTGGATCGAAGATAGACCTGTGTTTCATCCAAATATTCAAACTCTTCTTCCTCCACATACTCCTCAGCTTTATTAAACCTTGCGATAGGAGGGGAACCCTCCATACGTGATCTTTCCAGCGCCTTTGCTGCTACACTGTATTCAAAACCAATTTCTCTATGTGTTGCCGGTCGAAGATTCCATCCTGTTTAAATGAATATTGATAAATTACAAAAAAACTAATACCAGTACATATATATTATGTGCATGCTAAGAGATGATGTCTAAAGTTTTTTTTTTTTTTTTAGAAAACAACTTTAGAAATATATTTAGACGTGTTTTGTTATCTTAAAGTCATTAAACTACTTAATGTAGATATGTTTAAAGTCACATCTTCGCAGAAATTCACTACATTCTGAGTATTTACCTCTACCTCCAAGAGGTATCCTTGGCAACTTATGGAAATGATGTAAACGGTAACTTGGTGAAGAGGTGGTTGTTGGGGGAGGAGTGGTCATGGGTGGAGGTGTAGTAGGAATCTCTGTGTTGAAAACCTGGTCCCTGTAAGTAGCGCAGCAGTAGCGGAAAGCCAGGATGCACTCTGGGCCCTCGGTGATGTAGAGGGAGCGCCGGGTGCAGGAGTATGGCATTGGAATGTCCCTAAGGCCGTCTTTACAGCAGCGTCCCTGCAGCTTCTCCTTATAGTGTGCCTCTAAAAACAAAAAGAGATGTGTGAATATTAGGATATTTTTTCAAACCTCTTTGAGAGAGCTTCTTTTTAACAAAGAAGATGTTATGTGATTCGAAACTGCAAAAAGCTGCAGACACACACCCACAAACCTTGAAAATCTAATTTCAACAGTACTGCAACTTGCTTTAAAGCACCTCAAACATCCTGCCACATTTGCAAGATTGCATTTTAGTTTGGTATTTGTTCACTTCAACCATACTTTCACCTTGTAGCTATAAATTAATTGGATGTTAGCTACTTTTTAAATTAATCTTTCCTTCTAACCTTTTACACCATTAGAATTTTTTTTACCACCTGTGTTATAGTACACAGTTGCTGTGGCACACACATGCACTGTGTTAAAGTACAGCCCTTTGTACAACACAATACTCCCATGGGAGACAAATAAAAGCAAAATAAACAAAATCACTCATAAAGAAAAACATACATTTTCAACCTTCACTTTCAGAAAATAGTTTTACAGAATGACGTCTATAACTCCTATTGAATATGGGCTGCATGCCCGCTGTTTGTTAACATAGAGTAATATGCCAGAAAAAAAAAGATTTTGTCGAACAACTTAGGTCAAAAGGAAGAAATATTAAACTTTTCAGCCTAAAAGACTTCCTTTGAGTTTTTCTTGAAACAAGTTAGGTCTACGTGAAAAAGCATCTTCTTTCTATTGTTGGGTACATTGGAGGATCTATAGTGTCTGTGGGCAGTGTTGGGTAAGTTACTTTAAAAATGTAATCCGTTACAGTTACATGTTACCTTGTTTAAAATGTAATTGTAGTGTAACTTTTTCAATTACTTTTAAAAAGTAATGTAACTAATTACTTTTGATTACTTTTTGATTACTTTAAGGTTTTAATGAGTATTGACCCATGTTCAACATTTAATTTTTGAGAACTGAATGTGAACCTTAAAAAAGCACTAAGCTGAGAGGGAACTGCTGACAGGCAATCACAGAATGTCCACAAGAAGAGATGCCAGCACCAGGCATGTAAGATTTTCTCAGACTCCTCTCATCGGGCCATACTCTTTTCTGTTCCTACCCCAGGCTCTACCATTTACGCAGTTTGCGGACTAACACAAGCAGGTTCAGGTTGATAGCCGGCAAACACCTTTTGAACTGCACTGTTAAATTTGAGCCATTTTCACAGATGTAAATGAAATGCTGCTTAAATTTCCAGTGCTGGAAGGCTGTCATTTTTGATGCGCTGCTTGAGCTGAAATAGAACCGTCCGCTCGCTTGCTGTTCCTCAAGGAGGCTCCAACAGCACAGGATGGATCATCAGAGTGGCAAATATGATAGAGACAAGGAGCCGTAGCGGGAAACGTAGCGGGAAAGCAATAAAAATATCATTACATATTTCGCAAAGGTTTTTCTTTATATTTTTTAAGAAATGTAACTAAATTTGTAATTCTTAATATTTTCGGGAGTAACTGGCCATGGGAGAATTTCAAATGTTATGAGTCCTCTAATGGCTCAGTCTTAGGTCCTTACAGCATAATAACGAAAAACGTATGAAATTGACACAAAACCTGTTCATAATATTATAACCTTGTTTAAGACTGCGCCTGTTGCTCTCCTCCTTATATTGAGACTCTTTTTTTTTTTACTTTGTTATAAGGTTTTCTCCTTTGTACCAACATCTCTCTTAAAAAACATAGGAATATTTTATTGTTATCTTAATAAAACATTTCCAACTTGCTTAAAATAAGCTGACCAAGCTTATTTATCATATACCCACAAAGTTGAAGGACTCCAACTGAAATTAATATTAAAAATGCAGCTTTAATAAATTAAATTTCCATTTCTATTGCTACATTTCAAGTTAAAATTAAGTCAATGTCAATGTAAAGCTCATTTTACAGATACAATCAGTACAATAACATGTAAAGTTGAGTGAATTACTTAAAGGCACACCGTGTAACTTGTGGCCACCAGGGGTGCTAGACCTGAAACGTTTATATTAAGCGCCTCTAGTGGCCCCAAGCACTGTAGAATTTTTGCAAAAGTCAACAAACAGTCAGCTGGCCAGCCTCTTGTGTCTTTGATTGGGGACCGCACTAGGCATCTAGATTCAGCTCAGAAGGGGTCAGAAACTCAGATCCCACTAACTGGAGTCAAAAAGTCTGTGGTGTGCCTTTAAGTGTTATTTTTTATTTGATGTATAAAAAAAAACTACTCACCAAGCCGTGCTTTACGCTGGATAAGTTCAGCAGAGCGCCTTCTTCTGGTAGTGGCCGGACATCGCATTTCTGAAAAATAAAACATTTGAGTCATGAAGATGGAATATTTTTTGAGAAAGTATGATGTTATTGTTTTTGTGTGTAAAGGGCTATACTTTCAGTATTAAGAAAATAGTAAACATCCTATCTGCTGTTAGGGAAAACAGCACAATGCATCAACCTTAAGTCATTCTAACAGCACTGATGTTCCTCTCTTAACAGATAAAGGTAACAGTGATAAAAGATGAGCAAAATAAAATAGTCTCCATGTCAAGAGTGTGTACTCTTATAGTTAAACAATTGCTTAAAAAGAAAAGTGATCCCAAATATGTGATTCCTTTAGTTTTAGTAAAATATTCATTCTAATTCAATAGAATTACTGATGGGTACATATACCTTTTCGGATTCTTGTTTTGACCCCACCACTGGAGGAATAAAGAAGTCCGGCATCTGTAAACACTCCTGTTGCATCTTGACCCCCCCCTCTGGTGCAGCCGATGTCTCCATGCTCAACCAGGTCCCAAATCTGAGAATAGGGACAACATCTTGGCACTGATGACTGGCTTAATAGTTCATTCCATTCATCTGTCTTGCTCCGCCCAGTTTTTGCATTACTGATCATCTGTGTCACCTGCTCTAATCTCTATTTAAACTGCTTGATCCCAGTCATCAGTGCCAGATTATTCGAGCCTTCAGTGAGAGTTCTTTTGCCTGATCCTGACCAGTTCTGTCTTGGGACCTTTGAGCCTGTCTGTCCCTGTTTCAGATTTTCTTGGCTGACCCGTCTTTGGACTCCTGCTGGATCTGCCTCCTGACTTGGATTTCCCCTCAGTACCTCTTTGGATCTCTGATGTTCTGTCCTGGACTTATTTAAGCTCTTTAACACCGGCTTTGGCTTTGTCTTCTGGAAACTTCTGCCTTCCTTCATCTGCTTGCTTCTGCTCATCAGGCAGCTCGGCAGTCTACAGGCTTCGGAACTCTCTGGGCGGTTTTCCCCACAATGCTAATGGTAGCCATCCGGCTGGATTCCACTCCTTTTTCTGGGCCCAGACTGAACTCTAAAACCACAGATTCTGACCTTAGACACTCTAGCTCAGGGGTGTCAAACTGGTTCCAGAAAGGGCCGTGTGGCTGCAGGTTTTCTTTACAACTAAGCAAAAGAACACCAGACTCCAGTCATTTCATCAAGTCATAATGTTCAGATTGGACACACTTGATGAGATGACTGGAGTCTGGTGTGCTATTGCTGGGTTGGAAAGGAACCCTGCAGCCACACGGCCCTTTCTGGAGCCAATTTGACTTTCCTGCTCTTACTGCTGAATTGCTGACCTGACATCTATTAATCAACACCTTTGAATCACACCTATTTGTCTGCCTCAAATTTTGGGTCCTTAGTTCTGACATTATATGCATGAATCTTTCTTTATAACCTGCTTACAAGTTGAACCAGATCATTTCCCCAATACATATAAAGTATTATTCTTCATTATTATTATTATTCTATTATTCTATTATTTTTCTTCAGATAAAAATAAAATAAACATACCTTTCTCTGTGTCAGTCTCTCCCCATTGAGAAGGTACACTGCATTGTCCACTGCCACCAGGCTAACTTTTGCACCTGGGTCACCCCGGATCTGGAAGCGAAAGTTTTTCCCAGGTGCATAGTGCTGCTGTTTACTGTCTGTCGTAACTTTCAGCTGCAAAATAAAAATAAAAATAAAAGAATTACAAAAAAAAAAAAAAAAAACTATGACTAAAACTGTACCAAAATCAAATTTTCACAACTTCTTGATGAGTTAGTACTCCAGTTACTTGATAAAAATGAGCAACATCTTTCTGTAAGAATTATCTGTCATTTTAATATGAGCAATGACTGCAGAAATCCTTTATGATTCATTAATCCAGTTCAATGCCCACTTGATTAAATTGACATGTTAAACTGTCATGCAGGGTGCAGCAGTGGTGAAGGAAGGGAGCGTGCAACCCATTTACCAAGGCCTTTGCTCTTGAAGCAAGGGGTCCCCGGTTTAAATCCCCTCATATGCTGCATTTCTTCCCCCTCTCTCTTAACCCTCTTATTCTTTTTTTTTTATTATCAAATAAGGGTCATTATTTCCAAAAATCTTTGTAGTTTTATAATAGAAAAATACATATACATTAACTTTACAGAGCCCAACTACTTTACATGTGATTCTTAACATACCTTCTCTGCCAGAATATGAGGTTTTTAATATTTAATCTCGCAACATCTGAGAACAAGCTAAACACTCACCCCTCCAACACAGCGGTCCACCACATCTATCCAGACTGAATCAGAAACCAGCTCCTCTCGTCCTGCCCAGGGAATGCTGTAGAACGCTACAACTCGAAACGACGGCATCATCTCCGATGTTACCACCAAGAAAACACTAGTCATCAGCTGGCCCATCACAACTTGACGCTCAGCTGTTATGATTTTACCTTTATTCAGCACCTGTGGGTTTTGAGGAAAAATATTGCAGGGTTTAATTATAGTAGATGTGATTGTTGATTCTTGCATTGATTTTATAATTTGGTATTATGTAGGAAACTTCTTTGTTTGCGATAATTTCTTTATCTCACCAGGTAAGTGACGTGTTTGACAAATTCTCTGTGCGACTGATCAGATAAAGAAATGAAAAACCGCAGGGAGAGTGTCTCTCCAACAGAAACTTTGTTGGTTCCAGTGGAGATGTGCAGGTAGTTTTGCTGACGTTGATGGACGTTCATGTATGGATGGACAGTGATCTGCTGCTTGGCTTGCTGATCTATACCCAGGTCGGGCTGTGCTGTTTCAGCCTAGAAATAAAAAAAAAACAAATAACCACACAGTTCTGCTTTTCCATTTTTGTCCCAGTGTTTTGAATCACAACGTTTACTGCTATCCATTAAGGACAAATAAATGAGAAAAATCTATTTAATATTTCCAGAAATAAATCTATCTTCTCTGTTAAAAAATATATGTAAGATATTGTGTGTCTCTTAATATGTAAGAGACACACAAAGAAAATTGCATAGATATAGTTTAATCATTATTCCTTAAATAAGCGTATAGTTAGAGCGGCACAGGTTATGCTGAACTATCTCTATAGTTTAGCTGCTATAGGCCTAGTATCATGCTTCTCCCCTTTTGAGACTCTGAGTTTTTAGTTTTCAGTTATTATTTATTCCATTTTGTTGATCTTTGGTTTATTTTCCATTATATTCAAGTAGTCTTTAGTTACTCTCTGTTGCCCCCTTGTGCTTGTTTCCTTTCCCCTTGGTTTCTTTCTAGATAGTTCCACCCACACCTGCTCCTTATTCAGCTCATTAGTCCATCCTTTGTTCTGTCCCCCTTATATACACCACTCTGCAATCACTCAGTGCTGGTTCCTTGTTGTTGTTCCCTCATCTCTGGCTTCCCATGTGAGTTTTCCCCGACGCTTTCTGGCTTTTTGGTTCTTGGTATTTTGGATTTTTGGTTGTCTGCCTCTGTTTTTCATTAAATCTACAAGATTCACACCTGCCTCCTGGTCTCTGCATTTGGGTCCACAATCCATACAAATTGTGACACCTAGAGTGTTGTAGGACATAAAGATTACTTTTCCTTAATCTGATACATTCTACTTTTATTCTCCAATTTTGCATTGTTACAGTAATTCAACTTTTAACTTAAGTTTTTCTCTGAAATTTCTTAGTAGTAGCTTCATCTGGCCTGGTGCTCTGTTTTTATGTGACTGGGAAGGAAGCATCAGCTGGGCTGCTGCTATTAACAACTTAAATGATAAATTATACAGTTGGGTCTGTTTTTCAGTGCTTATTCCTGTTTCTCTCCTAAACATAGCTGTAGGCTAACCTTTTACTGTGAAAATGTGTATGTGCTCTTTTTCATCCTTTTGAATTGAAAAAATGTTCAGAGCTCATTTGCTGAACTGTTTTTTCCTAAACAGAGCTACATATGAAGCTTACCAATGCCTTCTCTAACATAGAAAGTATTTATGCATCAACTCATCTATATTCCTCCTGTATGTCTCTTTCTGTCTTTTTGAACCCCCAGTTAGTCTCAGAAGGCCGCTCACACAGCTGTGATTCAGCTGGGGGTTTCTTCCTCTTAAAAGGGAGCTTTTCCTCTCTTTTAATTGCTGCACACTCCATGTGAGGGATTGCTAAAGAGTCAACAACTTAATGAAGCATATTTTTGCTGTTGTTGCGTGCTCACACTGAAGGAGTGAAGTCAATGACCCTATGAAATCAGCTGCATTTCCTTAGATGGAAAACTTTTAACCAATTCTTTAAAATGACATGTGTAATGAATTGCCACTATATAAACTAAATCAAATTATTGTTGCAATCACCTTATGAGTATGTATTGAATGAAAAATGTAAATCTGAAGGAATATACTCGTCTTAATGAAGCAGCAGCCTTAAAGCATGCATTAAAGAGCACCATCTGACATGTGTTAACAAATATCTAATAGTTCTTGAACCATAACTTTTATAATTGCATGTTTCTAAAAAAACTCCAGAAATGGATTTCATTCCAGCACAGGTTAATACCTTGATAAAAGCATTGGTATTAGTCTTCTTGGAAGCTTATATATGTGTTTATGTGATTGTAGGGAAGCAAAAAAGCCATATTTATCAGATTTTATTGCATTATTGTGCAATTATACTCACAATGATAGTTTGAGAGATTTGTCTTGCGGGCATGTTAATGCTGGCTCTACTAATGCCTGAGGAGATGATTATTGGTGAGTCCAAATATGTCAGCTTGACCAAAACATTATGAGCAGGGGACCCATCATGCTGGCTTACTTGAATCTGAAACAATTTAAGAAAATATTTTTCTTTTCATCAGTCAAAGCTAAACAATGTTGTAAAAAATTGGAAAGGTAGTCCTTACTGTAAGATCCAATGGCATTCCTGGCTTAAAATACTTTGGTGCATCTTTGAAGGCTATGACATAAGGGGATTCAACAATTTTAATCCCAGTCTTTTCAGCCTCAACTAGATCGCTTCCTGAAAAGAAGGGGAAAAAACAGTAAAAATAAAAACATCAAGCTCTTAGAACACAAATTGGCTCTCATTAACTTAACATGTCTTGCAAAGATATTATGCACACTTATGCTCTTTCATCAACTTCACAGAAATTAAAAATATCTTACTGCAGTGTGATTTATGTACTCCAGAATTGTAAAAGCCTAACTTTACTATTCTAAAAATCTGAATTTTGCATTTGAATCCAGGTCTCATTACTTTGATACCCCTGACTTTAATCCAGCGGAACCATCTTGTATCCAAGGTCAATTACTTGCAGTGTATTTGTGTATTTGGAGTGCATCACTTTTCTACACTTTAGTGAAACATTAAACAGAGTAATGAATCCTTCTTTTTTTAAATAGTCTGTTCTGATGACGGACATTGTAATTTGGAGGTGTGGTCTCCAAAATAATCAGCATCTCATTATTTTCATCTAGCCATGTCTCAGTTAAAAACATAGAATCTAGATTTTGCTGAATAATGAAATCGTTGATAAAAAATTATCTTCCTGACAGAGATCATATAGTCATAAAATGGGACAGATCGCCCCAGTATTCAAGGAGAGACAGTCAGGAGGAAAGTCAAAACATTTATTAAAACAGAAATAAACAGACAGAAGAGAACCGCAGAGCTGCTGTGGATCTGTGGACCTGCAGCAACAGCAGAGGGGAGGTTGGGCACCGCCCAATCACTGACACTATGGTTCAACAGTTCAGTCCATCCTTTCAATCATAGGCAGCATAAGAAGATGCACTGCCAATGAGAGGCAACTTTGAGTCGTCCAGAGCATCCCCGATGCAGCAACCCCAGTGAACAGGCAGGACTCCGATCCAGGACAGAGATTCAGTTCAGACTGGAGAAGTTCTGGAATCCAGGAGTCAGCAGTCCGGTCAGGGGTTCCGATCCACACAGGAACAGACAGATCCAGGTTCCAGGAACCCATAGAGCGTGAAGGCAGGTTCAGAGTCAGACGGGTCCAGAACAGGCACGCACAGATGCAGAATCCAAGGATGGTTCAGACGAACAGATCAGATGGGGACAGACAAGGCCAGTGGATGAAAGCAAATGGAATCTCACCACTGTTTAGGGAATAAACTAGCCAGAGTAGGGGTGGGGGGAGATTATGTGTTTTCCTGTTGTGGGGCCATGTTTAGGTTTAGTGTTGGGCTGGATACAATGCTGAGATGATGCTGTGGAGAGATACTTCTGTTGGGACTGCCTTCTGCTTTGTTGGGGTCCAAAGAATGGTCACTGTACTTCACAGTAATAATGGATTTTACTAATATTTCCACATTGCCTCATCGACCATTTTGGCTGTCTTTATTATAAGTTTGTTCTGTTTTTGTTCCCATTCCAAGTTCTCACCTTTCAAGTCCCCCCTTTTTAAGTCCTCAGCAGAGTCATGTTTTTCATCAAGGAGACTATTGGGTTTTCATTCACCTCATGTACTTCCTACAGGTAGTAGAACATGTTGGAAGCCAAAAGTTTTGCTCCTGATTTATTCAGATGAAATCCATCTCTCTTGAAGAGGTGTCTCTTTTCCCAGAAGATAGTAAAGTTATCAATAAATCCAACTGAACTTGTGAAGCAGGCTTGTTTGATCCATTTATTCAGGTAGGAAACTCTGCTGAAGAATTCATCTCTTGCTGAAGGCGGTGCAAGGGGCCACAAATGAAAACTTTAAATTTTGTATATTCCACAGTGTTAAGCAGACTGATCACGTCTCCCTTTAATAATTCTGACTTACTCTTAGCAACATCATTCAGTCCTCCAATGTGAATGATTAAGTTCTTCAAGGTTGGATGTGATTTTGTGATCTGTGTAATACTTTTGAGAGTTCAGACAGCATGCTTAAGCCAGTATTGAGTATTTCGTTTTTTTCAGGGTTTTTTTGTTTTATTTAGTCAAATTTTCAGCATCATCTCTTACTATTAATGTTCTTGGTTGGCAGCTGGTTTGTCATGAGGCTGTTTGGAAGAGAGCCAGTAAGATGCAGACAGTCAGGCTCAGTAAAAACTAAAACCCTCTCAACCCACTGGCCTCCAGGGATGAGAACATGAACCCAGAATAACTCAAGACTAACAAAACAAACTAACAAACTTTCATCAAACAATGATCTCGCCCCAATACCTGGACTGAGCCAAATATAAAGGAACAGACACGGGTGGCGAAGATGAGGAATTATTAGGAACTGGGCAGACTTAGGCAGGTGAATAAAGTGAACAATTAAGGTCAGCTATCACGGCAGATCATGACAGTGACCCCCAGATTCCACATCCTTCGTGTCCGCTCCGCTCACGTACGTTGTCTGGAGTACTTTTCTGTCATGTTGGTCAGTGAGAACGCCTCCATATCCACCGCTTATCCCCCGCATGTCACCATCCACATATGTCTTCTCTGTCGTTCGCTGTCAAAATACGGAGCCAAACTTTTTCACATTTTTTGCTCCGCTCTGGTCCGGCCAAGTCAAGATCCGCAAATGCAATCACACCAAACAGGAAAACGGACGTCAACAAGATCCTGTTTGTCAAATTAAAACATAGTAACGACAGATCGGTACTTACAAATTAGAGCCTAATATTTATATATTCCCAAAAACTAAGGCCGTTTAATCAAATGATTGGATGCGAACTATTATATTAGTGGTTAAACATACCAGGAAGCAGATTTCTCATCTCAATCAAAATATCTATTTTATACTGAGAGGCTTAAATGTTTAATCAAATCCAGTCACAACTTCCAAGACCGCATCTCACAGCTTCAAAAGAAACTTCTTATCACAGGCATGGATGAAGAGATGCTGAGTTTGGAAGCAGAGAACAAACATAGTTCATACAAACCAATTTAATATGATCTTAGTTATCCATGTTACAAAAATCCACAACAAGAAGAAAACATTTGGGCAGAAAATGAATATATGCTGGATGCTGATGGGGATTTTATTAATATAGCATATTAAATTAATTTCCACATGTTTTGCTCCTATGAGTTTAATAATTAAAATAAAACGCACGCTCTCCTTGAGCTCTGAGGTGCTCGGAGTGGAGCAACAGTGCTGGATGAACAGCAGAGGCTGCAGGCTGTAGGCTTTGATTTGCACAGTCT